TTTAGAAAAGACAAAGGTGGCTGAGGACATTCAGCTCCGCCCACAGACCTTCTGCTACGCCTCCCGTCCAGACTAAAACGGCAAATCTGAACACCTAAAACGTTAAAGTCTGAAAACGCTGCTGACCCCGCTTTGGTTTTAAACTCCTGGGTAGCGTGTTAGAGATGACGCAGGCGCTCACATTTGGCTTCCTGATTGGCTCGTATCAGTTGCAAGAAGCAGAAACACGATGCTGCTGACAGAGTTTTAGTTTTGGTGTTTTTATTAAAATACTCTGTACTGTGTAAATAACACTTCTACACTTCTACACGTCCTCTGCATGTCTCTGTATTTATTTTGCGGCGACTCCCAGCCTGTTTCCTGCCGCCACAGCCTCTCTGTCCTCCCGTGTTCCTCTCAGTAACAGTTCCAGCTCGCTGTCGCTCCGTGCAGAGAAATCTCTGCTGTGGTTCGTTCGTCTCTTGGAGAACTTTCTTCTTCAGCTGAATCTCCTGCAGCTGCAGAGTAGACACAGAAGACGGAGATCCGTTCTGATACGCAGACAAAATGCAGGTGTGGACGGAGGGCAGATATCGGCCAAATCTGTCCATCATTAGCTGCAACAACCCCTATACGTGACGAGGTGCAGCTCCCTGATGGACTTTGAGGCCTTACAGGTGCTGGTCATATAATTAGAATATCATCAAAAAGTTGATTTATTTCAGTAATTCCATTCAAAAAGTGAAACTTGGATATTATATTAATTCATTACACACAGACTGATATATTTCAATATGTTTATTTCATTTAATTGTGATGATTAAAACTGACAACTAATGAAAATCCCAAATTCAGTATCTCCGAAAATTTGAATATTACTTAAGACCAATATAAAAAAAAGGATTTTTAGAAATGTTGGCCAACTGAAAAGTATGAGCATGAAAAGTATGAGCATGTACAGCACTCAATACTTAGTTGGGGCTCCTTTAGCCTGAATTACTGCAGCAATGCGGCGTGGCATGGAGTCCATCAGTCTGTGGCACTGCTCAGGTGTTATGAGAGCCCAGGTTGCTCTGATAGTGGCCTTCAGCTCTTCTGCATTGTTGGGTCTGCCGTATCGCATCTTCCTCTTCACAATACCCCATAGATTTTCTATAGGGTTAAGGTCAGGCCAGTTTGCTGGCCAGTTAAGAACAGGGATACCATGGTCCTTAAACCAGGTCCTGGTAGCTTTGGCACTGTGTGCAGGTGCCAAGTCCTATTGGAAAATGAAATCTGCATCTCCATAAAGTTGGTCAGCAGCAGGAAGCATGAAGTGCTCTAAAACTTCCTGGTAGACGGCTGCGTTGACCTTGGACCTCAGAAAACACAGTGGACCAACACCAGCAGATGAGGCGAGATGCTTCTGACGATGTGGCTTGTCCAAGACTGGCTTGACACAAGGAATGCGACAGCTGAAACCCATGTCTTGCATACGTCTGTGCGTGGTGGTTCTTGAAGCACTGACTCCAGCTGCAGTCCACTCTTTGTGAATCTCCCCCACATTTTTGAATGGGATTTGTTTCACAATCCTCTCCAGGGAGCGGTTATCACTATTGCTTGTACACTTTTTTCTACCACATCTTTTCCTTCCCTTCGCCTCTCTATTAATGTGCTTGGACACAGAGCTCTGTGAACAGCCAGCCTCTTTAGCAATGACCTTTTGTGTCTTGCCCTCCTTGTGCAAGGTGTCAGTGGTCGTCTTTTGGACAGCTGTCAAGTCAGCGTTCTTCCCCATGATTGTGTAGCCTACAGAACTAGACTGAGAGACCATTTAAAGGCCTTTGCAGGTGTTTTGTGTTAATTAGCTGATTAGAGTGGCACCAGGTGTCTTCAATATTGAACCTTTTCACTATATTGTAATTTTCTGAGATACTGATTTTGGGGTTTTCATTAGTTGTCAGTTATAATCATCAAAATTAAAAGGAATGAACACTTGAACTATATCAGTCTGTGTGGAATGAATGTATACATTATACAAGTTTCACTTTTTGAATGGAATTCATTATATGACCAGCACCTGTATTTCTTCCTGCGATGTACCGACTGATGAAAAGTTGGCCGACTAAGACTCTTTTCATCAGCCACCAGAAAATCTTTGCCTTTCAGCGCCTGAGTTCATCCGTGACCCCAGAAACGGCAGTTTCATAAAAGAAAGTTACTTTTTCTGAAGCTTTCAGCCTTTCCTCCACGATAACTGAAGAAACTCAACCGTTCCAGAAAAAGCTCGTACCTCGTGGTTAAAAAAGTGAGGTCAACCTTTTGTTTTGTCAAACTTTCACTACATTTGAAGTCTCTAGTGAGACTCTGTTCAGTACAGAGACGGGAGGCGTCTCCTTTTCCTTTTCTGCAGCTGTAAAGCTGTTTGTTTCTCTAAGCTAAACCTTGATCAACAGTTTTAAAGCCGAAACCTCCTGTGAACGTGTGAACTTGTTACATTATTCTGTGGGTGGAGAGGGTGATAGTGAAAGTGTTTTTTTGTCCAGATAAAATTCCCCTTTAAAATAAAAACTGTGCTTCCTCCTCCTTTGCATGTGCGCACGGGTTTCCCCGTCTCAAGTAGTCAGTGCAAAGTAGCAACAGCAAGTGTGACAGGCCAAACTTGTATAAAAGATAGTTTAATGTCAACATGTTGAGTCATTTGTTTTCATGCCAACTAAACCACAGCTGTCAGCTCTATAATCGTGACTTTTACTGAAACAAACTGCTGTTTAAAGGGTTTCACTTATTTTCTTATGTGCAAAACAGAACACGTGAGAAACGGTGACTGGAAGCTTCCCATACTGACAAAATTAAATATGTGGTTGTGTCTGAAAAAAACAGACTAAAAATATTACAGGCAAACTGACTGCAGTTCAGAGAAACTCGGCGCTTTACATGAACACAAATACACAAGTGTGAAAGGCGTACCCCCTCAGAGTCAGAGCTCAGAGCAGGGCCCGGCTGTTGTTTGTGGTTTCTGGAAAGCGAGGCTGAGCGAGACCTCAGCGCTGTAAACAAACTGATCTCGGGTCAGTGCCGCTCCACAGGAAGCTGCGGCTTGGAGGAAGCTGGTGTTTCTGTGTTTCTAAATGAATCAGACGCTCGTGAAGCTGCTGTGACAACAGGAAGTAAAACCTGCACAGAACTGCAGTTGGGAGCTGCTCGCCGGCCTTTCAGCCTGCTGACACGTCAGACACCGTCTCAGACAGCAGCTCAGCATCTTGTTCACAAGCTTTTTCTGTCCAGGTTTTAGCTGTAAACATCTCAGGATTGTGATGAAATGTGGTTTACCTCAGGATGAAGTGTGAATGTCACTTTACAAACGACAAACCGCGACTTTCTTGACTTGCAAACCTTTGGAAAAACATCACATGTGTAAATCAAGACACATCAGGAATGAAACGTGGACTACTTTACATGTTTTTTATGAAATAAGGTCAAAACAAATCCACTGTTCTGGGAAATTTGGTACCAATTGTAAGTTGCAACCAGTTCTTGATACCCAACCCTTGTGAAAGCAACTGTACGAATCATCGCAGACAGGACCAACCCAAAAATGCACAGTTTTATCTAAACAAAAAGGGAACACACTATTAATTATAAATATATGAAAAGGTGAAGATCTTGTTCTGTCTCGGAATAATGTTGAATAAATTAGAATCAAATACTCGACATTCAGTTCATTCAAACTCACCACAGTACACGCAGCGAAACAGGCCTGGTGATTCTACATAGAGTCGAACAAAGAGATTATGACACATTACAGAAACATTAAAAACAAAGTGAGTGAACGTGTTGCCAGTTAAATGCTTTTATTGTGAAGCTTCAGCGGCAGGAAATGTTCAGTTTGAGTCAGCAGTAACTTAATACAGCATTATTTGCAGGAATTTCGCCACAGATGCACAGTTATACTGTAAATATATGAATTGGTGCTGGGCAACGATTAAAATTAATTTTCAAATTAATCTCATAGTTGTGCGCAAAATTGAATAATGAATTCTAAAGTAATGTATTGCCAATTTTAATTTAAATGTACTGCTGTATACACAAAGGTGTAATAACATGTGGTTTGCAAACACTTTAAACAGATAAGGAGCTTTTTCCCTGCAGTATTCCCTTTACACAGCGGCAGTAAAATATTTCTTGTAAATCTCAACTTAAACATTAATGTAATCAAATAGAATATTAATCCAAAGCTGTTAATTGTATCTAGCTCGTTAAAACAAGTTAGAGTCCAGAGCTGGACAATAAAACAATAACAATCATTATCGCAATACAATGTTTTTCAAAAACAATATAACATGTGACCTGTTGCTTTCCTTTATGTGTGATGCTTGTTTGTTTGTTTTGACTATGCTGTATTTCTGTTTAAATTGTAACTGGTGCGCCGTCTTGGCCAGGTCTCCCTCGGAAAAGAGATTTCAATCTCAAGGGACTTCCTGGTTAAATAAAAAAAATAAAAAACATTTATTAAGTTTTTGACTTTATCCACTTGAATTATACTGGAATTAGGACTTATTATTTTATTAAGATGTTTATTTTGTTGAGGAAAAAGGACTGAAAAAAGCTTTTACTTAATTTCACTCGTGCATATTTGTTGGCAAAGATTTTATCATAATCGTTTTGAATGTTCTCCCTCAGATTTGTGAAGGGATCCACTGTTTGGCTTCAAGTGTTGCCCATAAAAGAGTTTAAACCACAATTAACCATCAGGTTTCTTCAACTTAAACTCAGGACTGGATGTGGATTCAGAGCCAGCGAGCAATGGGCTTTCAAAATAATGATAATAAAAACTCCATTAATGCGATAATAATACGTTAACACGTGCCCAACCCTAATATAAATATTGCAATACTTCATCAGTAGCCACTCTGTGGGCGGATGGGAAGCTTCTGCGGGCTGGATTTGGACCGCGGTTGACAAACACGGTTAAAACAGTTTTCTGATCAGAGAAAGAATATTGTATTTATTAACTAACCATTTGCTTCCTTTCTCCCCAGCAGCCAGGGTGCATGATGGGATCTTTCCGGCGTCCCAGGCCCCGGTTTATGAGTTCTCCGGTTCTGTCGGACCTCGCCCGGTTCCACGCCAGCTCACCTTCGCTACAGCTCTCCAACACCAGCGTGTGGAACAGGTCAGCCGCTCGTTGAAAACTCTTACTGTAGGTTTAAGATGTGTCTGGAGGTGAACTTAAAGATCTGAACCTGGATCAGCTTTTGTAGTGTTAAAAGTGTGTGTGATGCTTCAGTCAGAGGTTCTGTCGTCCACATCAGCTGGCAGAATGCACACCAGATGTTATCAGCTGGCTTCATGTAGTCTGATAATCTCACAACACAAAGGAAAGATTTTATCTTCATGTGTTTAGGACACAACCTGCACTGTGTGTGTGTGTGTGTGTGTGTGTGTGTGTGTGTGTGTGTGTGTGTGTGTGTGTGTGTGTTGTTATGGGTCCAAACAACGGCTTATAAAAGTGGAACAAGTGCTGGCTCCTGTTTTCCAGACCTCAGTACAACAATTAATTATATTGCGGTATAATTTTCCTCAATAACAATATAATAAAGGCTCAACAGATCGTCAAAAATGATTTAATTTATTAGAATTATGAACGGATTTTCACTTAATTCTTATATTGCCTTTGGTGTGAGAGACCCAGGTTCAATCCCCTACTGTCCCAGAGCAAGACACTTAACCCCTCGTTGCTCCAGAGCGACCTCTGACATGTAGAGCAATTGTAAGTTACTTTGGATAAAAGCTAAATGAATGAATATGTTTGTTACGTTCTGACCGTAAATAAAAGTGTAAAACTACTTTTAACCATCTGGTTTCCTCAATTTTCACTCAGGAGCAAAAATCAGCCTTTAAACTTGAAAGAAATAACGATTTGGCATTTATCGTGATAATTATCGATACCGTATGAAATGTTTTTATCGTGATTACATTATTGGCCATATCGCCCAGCCCTATTTGCACCCTGAGATGACTTGAGGAGCTTCAGGCCTGCACCATGTTATGTATGTGACAGTAAGGGGGCTTTCACACCTGCCTCATTCAGTTCGGTTGAATCGCGCTAGAGTTTGTTTCCCCCCTTGGTGCGGTTCGTTTGGGCAGGTGTGAACGCAGCAATCGCACTCGGGTGAGCACCAAACAAAAGAACTCTGGTGCGGTTCGCTTGTGAAAGCAAACGAACCAACCAGAGGATTTTATGATAGCAGAGATGTGATCTGAGCATTTTTCCAAAGCTAAACCACTAATAAATCCATCGTCTGACAGCGAAATGTGTTCAGCGATTTTATAATTGATCTGTATAAGCCATGCTGTGTTTATGAAAATCATAACGTATAGCCTACCCAACTTGTCAGCGCGGGTATTTCCCCTGATTAATATGTTAAAATCTGCTTAAAAAGGAGGGCCAGTAGTACTACTCAGTTAACTGTTAGTTCATTATGTCAATAAAACATGTGTGACAGCGATACCACAGTTCACTACAGGCGAATAAGCCCCGAATTATTACTGTACATGTCCTGTTTTAACGTTAGTATTCATAACAGGCTATGCGGTCGATCTGCGATCTAACATAACTAATCATGCTTTTAATAAATTATCACTTTGTGAGCTCTTTGTGAGACAGACCAGAAGCGTTAAAGTGCTGCATAAACGTCTGTCAGTCACCGGAGTTTGATTTCCCCGCGTGGGTCCTGATGATGCAGGATGACAGTCGCCAAAGCTGTCCAGTCAACAAGCTACCTGTAATTAGGGCTGGGCAATAAAACAATAATGATAATTATCACAATACAATTTTCCTCAATAACAATATTACAAATGTAATATATATATTACAAATATATCGTCAATAAATATTTGATTTAATTCATTAGAATCACAAACGAATTAGCACTTAATTCTTATATTAAGATGTTTATTTTGTTGAGGATGCAAAAAGATTAACTAATCATATTAAAAGATTTTATCATAATTATTTTGAATGTTCTACCTCAGATTTGTTCGGTGATCCGCTGTTTGGCATCAAGTGTTTGTCACGTTCTGACCGTAAAGAAAAGTTAAACCACCTGGCCATTCAATTTTCATTCAGGGGCAAAAATCAGCCTTTAAACTTAAGAAATAATGATTTGACGTATGTCATGATGAATTATCGATATCGAATGGTATGAAATGTTTTTATTGTGATAACATTTTTGGCCATATAACCTGTAAGTCTGTGTAACGCCGGGGTTACTTCTCTCGGTTCGTTTATAAAACTGCAGTGTGAACATGAACCGGACCAAAACTTAAAAACAGTGTATCATTATTTCTCACTTGGTCCGGACCAAATGAATCGAACTACAGGTGTGAAAGCCCCCCTACGGTGTCCCATCAGGGTTCGGATATTCCCCGGCCCTTGTGCGTGCTTGTGCAGCTCTGTTTCTCTGTGTGGTGAGGTTATTTCAGATCTGGCGGTAGGAACTCTCTGAGTCTCTGGCCTGTTTCCGGCTCTCCGCAGCGCTGGATGCAGGAAACAGCAGGATGTTTAGTAGGAAGTGGAGGTGGCAGCCAGGCCACGTCCTGTCATCCAGCTGAGTCACATACGAGACCGTCAAACACGGACCCGACAAACTTAACTACAACTGCCAGAGAAAAAGCAGGCTCACTTATTCTTATTGAGAAGTTTTGCTTTCTTACCAAGCAGGTCATTTAGAAATCCTAACCCTAATGTTTATTTACGTTTTATACACCAAAGGTCAAGTCAGGAGTTCAGGTGGGATAAAGAGTGAAACGTTAACCTCTAATAGGTTATAGGTTGTGTCAACCCACAACCAGAGTACGAGGGAGGGAGGAGCCTGAAGACGCCTCGATGCAAACTGCTTAGTTTGCTCACAGATTTGTAGTTATGTACAGCTGATCTGTTGGGTTAGGATGCTAGAATGTTTCTATTGCAAGGAAACAAGATGAGATCAAAAGTCAGGCCTCAACAGTAAGGACAGTAATATGCCACGTCGGGAAAGTAAATCTAGCATCTAACTTGGTGTAATTTATTCTCACGGTGCACTGAGCTCGTCCACGTACAGTGAACCAGGTGAAGTGAAGATAATTCATAGAGTTGATGACAACTCGTTACTGTACGTACATGCAGTAAAACCTTTGCGAATAAAAAGCCAACACTTCATCCATACACTTGTTTAACAAGCATATTTTAATCTGCCGCTATGTTGTAGTACTTGAAAGGGGTCTTAAGACCACGTTTTGATGGTCTTGGTCTCGGACATTGAGGACTCGGGATTTTATTTCAAGACCAAAGACCATAACTTTTGGGAATATCAATAAATCGCTTTTGCATTGTCTGATTTATTTGTTAACATCCTAACGGTGCTTTCAGACCAAAAGCGAAGCGAGCGTTCGGGGCGGTGAGTTTACATACAAAGTCAATGCAAAGACGTGTAAAGCTGCGGTTTCCTGTTGGGCGGCTGTTGGATTCTGGGCTGACAACTACGCTGTTTACTCGCGGGAGGAGCTCGGAGTTAACTGCTTTTATTAAATTAGTTTTTTACTTTAGTTTTTTGGGAAAAACGGACAACTGCGGCTATTTGAGCTTCGTTGAGGTCTGTAGTGGCCAATAACAAACGTTACCTGCGGAGATCAATAAATAAATAAATAATTGAAGCCTGGACAGACTTCATTGCTCATTACGTGGTCAACACTTTCTCTCACACACAGCAGAACACTACTGGCCCCAGATGTGTGTGATACTGCAACAAAGTTCAAGTTTTAAAAGCCTGAAACAAACCAACAAAGACTCAAATCTGCACTTTATGTTATCATTAATTATTATTAATCATGTTGTAATGACATTCATGCCGTACGCAGCATAGTTCTTTTGGAATACATGTTTATTTTAGTGTGTTTATCTTATTAATGTAATGCACATTTGTGATTAAAAATAATGGTTGTTGTTGGTAAATGAATTACTGACCCCCACAGATGCAGGATTAAGAGCTCAGACCGTAACTAGAACCCTGCTGGACTATCAAACTGTACAATCTGTAAAAATGAGTACACATGCAAAACAACATGTACACTTGTATCGATCATTTTTTAAATATCCACTTTTTAAAAACGAATGCAGACAATAGCCTACTGTAATAATACTTCCTTTACTCACTGTACACACACAGATAAAGCAGTTAGAACAGTTGGCAGCAGTGGCTGATTTGCATTATGCAAAACATTTTAACATCTGCATGTTCTATCAAAATATCTGCCACTATCAATATTTGAACATCTAAATCACGCAAATTAGGATCTGCCAACAGAGGCTGTGGTGAGGAGGAGTTTCTTTATGTGGACAACTGTTTAAATAACCGTGTGTGTTAAATCTCTCCCTGCTCCAAAACAGCTGATTCAAACTATCAACTCGTTCTGAATCCTGAAGCTGCTTCAATCAGCTGTGTAGAAGCAGGGAGAGATTAAATCATGCAGGACAGGGGAAACTTTCTCCAGGAGAGGGTTGGGAAACGCTGTCGTAGTACATAAACTTCAATTCAACTAAGATTAATTCATACAGCCAGTAAAGTGTTTGCACGCTGTTAAAAGTGTGAAAAAGCAACACTGAACGGCCTAAAGGATCTACAGTGGATAGAAAAAGTCTCCACACCCCTGTTAAAATGACAGGTTCTTAAGATGTAAAATAATGAGACAAAGATAAATCATGTCAGAACTTTTTCCACCTTTAATGTGACCTATAATGTGAACAATTAAATAGAAAAACAAACTGAAACCTTCGAGGGGGTTAGAGTGACTTTGTGAACATTGCTGTTGCTCTACAAGCAACATTTAGGTATATTTAAATTATTTGACTCTCATCCTAAAAATGAATCAAAGTCAAGGAAACCCATCGCTTCTCCTGAGATAATGGCAGCAGGTAAAAGACACACAGCATCCTTGTTAAGATTTTTTTACTTTATTATTTGTTAAGATTAAAACTAAACTTAATCGTCATGTTCATTGTTTTTTGATAACTGGTATTAAATAAAGCAATGTGTATAGAGTAGATTTCTGGACAAAGAAAACGCTGAACCCTGCAGCGTGCCCATACTAAAGACATGCAGCTTATGTGATGCGTTGACCGGCTTGGTGACCTCTGACCTTACCTGTGTGTTTGCTTATGTGTCCTCAGCGTCCAATCAGCTGTGATCAAGGTGTTCCAGGGTGGAGCGCTGCAGACTAACGAGCTGTTCACGCTGAACGAGAGCATCAGGTGATGAAAACACTTCTTTTTCTTCAATGCACCGTTCACACGCAGCACGAGACGGGAGCAGCGGTGAACAGAAACCGGCTCAGTCAAGCTGACAGGAAGCTTCTGCAATTAGTCTCTCATTCTGGACAACTTAAACTAAAACAGCCAATCACACGCCAGCAACTCAGTGCATTTAGGCAGGTGCTGAAGTTCAAACCGACAGTTGAGGAAGTCGTTTTTAAAAAAAAAATACAGATAAATATTATATATGGGGGAAATGTTGTCTGCATGTTTTAGTGCGTGCATATTGTTTATTTGCTGGTGTTGTCACTCAGATTTGACCACTCAGCAAACATCTCTGTGTCTTTTGCAGGTGGCTTCTTAAAACAGAGATGGGCTCCTTTATCACCGACTACTTCCAGGTACGTTCACTCTTCTATTTCCTGTTTCAGGTTAATGAAACCTGACAGCTTCATATAGACTGTTTGTTTGTTATCAGCGGAAACGGTAGCTGACGTGCATGTGGTCGCCCCACTTCCTGTATCTGTGTTTATTACAGTAAACATTAATCCGCAGAGTCTGGTGACTCCGGGGGTTTTTTTATAGGCTGATGCAGATATCGATATTCTAGAGTAAAACGATGATCTGATAACGAGACGTAGGCTGATATTTTACATCTGACGATTACAAATTATGGACAGTAAACATAACTGTAAAGACATTTTTAAAAGAATAAATAAAAACACATTTAACTCGAAGTCTTCCTTTAAAGCAGGAGAATAATCCAGTGACAGGAAGGCACATGAGTGAGTGGAAAAACCAGTAACTAAGAACATTTACTCAATTACTGCACTTAAGTACAAACTAGAGGTATATGTACTTTACTTTTTAGTATTTTTCTTTTCATGCCATTACTTCTACTCTACTCTCTTTTTAAAATTCTGTTGTCTTTGTTTGCAACCCCTGACAAAAGCAGTTACCTTTGGACTTGGATTCTAGTTGACATTTAAATTAAAAGTTTATATTTTAGTGGAGCAATTTTAGCAAGGGTATCTGTACTTTTACTCACGTTTAGGATTTGTGTACTTCGTCCACCACAGGGAAAAACACTTTCAATAATTTTAATTCCTTCGTCATAGAAAGACAGAGGAAGCTAATCCAATATTTATTTGGCAAATTGTAGTTGTCTTTTTCAGTATGACTCTTATCATTTAAGTGAAATTTGATTAATTAATTTGTAATAGCTTTTTCAAACTGGTCCATTTTTTTATTGATTTTAATTTACAGTTAAATTTTTTTGATTATTCATCAATAATACTAATAATACTTTAATGATTATTCTACTGGCAGGAACTCCAGGTTCCCTAGAGCATCTCTGTTGATGCTCCAGCTGTTAATAAATCTGCCAAAACAAGTCATGTGATCGGCAGCCTGGTCACGTGACCACGGCCGGCGCCGGTCTAACACTAAATCCAGACATCAGAGAGTAAAACCTGAAGTGTCTGCAGCTCAGAGTCTGGAGTGATGGCGTGACGTGGAGCTCGCTGTCAGCTGCAGACTGTGAAGATGTTTATCTGTCCGTCACGACGAGTTGCTTCTCTTCAGCCGCTGAAGGAGTTTTTGCACAAGCGTCGACTTGTTCAGCTCTGCTGGATTAGAGATGGATTTTTAACACGTCACGCTGTCGATGTTCAGTCAGTCTGGGGGGTCATGTGACACAACAGGAAACTGGTGACCGGCGCTTTCCTTAATGCGGCTTTCAGTTTCACCGAGAGGAAGAAGGCCCTCCGACCTGCTGGCCTCTGAGCAGCTCCACTGGAGCAGTTTGGGGTTAAGGGCCTTTCTTAATATGTCCTCAGTGGCGATAATGAGGTTGGGGCCCCATTTATCCTGCCGGTCCGGAAATACAACAGACGACTTCCCTGCAGCCTGGATTAGTGCTGTGCAATAACACTATAGATAATTATCTGGATGTAATTTTTCTCAATAACTAACTCACAGATCAAAAAAACAAATCAGCACTCTGTTTCTCTATTACGATATTTATTTTGTTGAGGAAAAGAGTCTGTAAAAAAGGTTTTGCTTAGTTTTATTAATCCGTGTATGGTTCGTTCTTTCATTATTATTTAAAGGTAGTTTTTTTGGTTTTTCCGTTTTAAATATTCGGATATTTAATGTGTCCGATTGGTGTAGCTTTGTATGTTACCCTTGATAAACCTGCGGTGTCTGATTGAATGTAATTTCAGACGAGCTTGAACATCAACATAAGTTGTTTTTTAGGTAGAAAAACAGGAGGCTCACCGTTCAGTTTGTAACAGGAACAGAAACGCCTCAGAAGTTGCCTGAGAATCCTCCGGTTTTTAAGATTTCTTCAGTTTAAAATTAATTCAGTGATAGTTGTCAGTACATCCAGTGGTACGCAGCAAACATGAACTGTTAAATTGGCGAGCTGTATGTTAACGAATCATACACGGGTTAAAAGGTTTGTGTAATTTATTCCTTACTACCTTCTTATTACCTTCTTGAGATGGAAGAATTTAGCTGCAGGAACACATGGATTAAGCTGTGTGTAAAACAGGAGCATCAGACTTCATCCTGCCAGGAGAAACGACCACTGAGCGTCCAGAGCGCCGGTTCCACTGGCAACACGACACTCATAGTAGGTCTACCAGAGAGGAAACTGGGCGCTGGAGCGTACAGGGCGAGGGAGAGGAGGTCTGCGGACAGTCGGTGATGATTCCCTCTGGTTGGATGAAGCCCGACGCAGAGCACAGCTGATGCAAACAACAGGCGCCGTGTACAGCAGCCAGTTCATTTGAAAACCAGTAGGGATGAAACACCGGTCACAGATAGAACAAGAAGCAGCTGCTTTGTTTTTACGTTTGTTTTTAAAACAGAAAAAACTAAAAAACTATCTTTAAATAATAATGAAAGAACGAACCATACACAGATTTTTATTTGTGCATATTTGTTGAAAACAGGTTTTATCAGAATAGTTCTGAATGTTTGCAGATTTGTGAAGTGATCCACTGTTTGGTATCAAGAGTTTGTTCTGACCAGAAAGAAAAGTTTAAAACCACATTAACTTTCAGTCAGGAGCAGAAAGCAGAAACCTTTAAACCTGAAAGAAATAACGATTTGACATTTATCCGGATAATTATTTTTATCCAATGATGTGACATTTTTTATTGCGGTAACATTTTTGGCCGTTTGACCCAGCGCCAGCCTTGATGTTATGAAATTAGTTTAAACCACATTAATGCAGTTCTCCTTTCTGAGAACCAAAGCAACCAAAAAGATAAACTCACCACTTAAAATCTACATTTGTTGGTCTGAAACTCTCTCTTATTGACCAAAAGGCATAGCACACAGTGTAGACGTTCTTACCGTGGTTGGTCACGTGCTTAAAACAGGAACTCCCACTCGCCCCAGCTGGTCAACAAACCAAAGACTACAGATGTAACACAGGTGTGATGTGTGCCACGAAATCTGCGAAGGTTCTCACTCACCCAGGTCATAGTTTTCCAAGGAAGGTGAACATCAAGGGCAGCTGGAGTGGTAGAAGACACTAAAATTCAATTCAATTCAGAAGTGCTTTGCCTAAACCCTAAACGCAACATAGGGAAAGAGGAAAAAAACACATGAAGCAGAAGATCAGAAATGTATTTTGGCCCTAAACCATTTAGTGCTTTATAAACTAACAGCAGGATTTTGAAATCAATTCTTTGACATACAGGAAGCCAATGTAAAGACCTCAGAACTGGACTGATGTGATCCACCTTTTTGGTCTTAGTGAGGACTCGAGCAGCAGCGTTCTGAATCAGCTGCAGCTGTCTGATGGATTTCTTAGGGAGCCTGTAAGGACACCGTTACAGTAGTCGAGTCGACTGAAGATAAATGCATGGATAAGTTTTTCCAGGTCTTGCTGAGACGTAAGTCCTTTAATCCTTCATATATTCTTCAGGTGATAGTAGGCTGACTTTGTAATTGTCTTAATGTGGCTCCTCAAATTCAGGTCTGAGTCCATGACTACACCAAGATTTCTGGCTTGACTTTCAATCGTTCCTCCCTGGCTCCAAAAACATAACTTCAGTTTTATCTAACTAAACAACATTTTGGCACATCCAGTCATTGATTTGTTCAGTTACTCAGCACCTGTATGGGATTATAGTCCACCGGTGATACGTTTATGTAAATGTGTGTGTCATCTGCATAATTATGGTAACAAATTTTGTTGTTTTTCATAATAACTTGCATTCAGAAGTGCTTCCTCACCAGCATCACCGAATACAGCTGCAAAGATTTTTGGGTTAAGCGTCACAGTTTAGAATCTAGGTGTTGAATCTGTCCAGAGTGGGACGCGGCCAGTGCAAGTGGTTAGAAATGTGAGTTTTCTAAATTTGAAATAATGAGTGACGAGCACATGTTCATCCCTGCAGCTGAGGCACATTTCAGGTACGATGAAATTGCAAAGCAGGATATTTGGGATATCTAATATGTAAATATCTGAAGAAGCGGTCCTTTGGCAGGTTAGACCGTCATCATCATTTTATGCCCTTTCTGTGGCGGTCCTGGCACGTTACATGTCGCATGGATGGGATAAAAAGGCGGTTAGAAGCAACAGGGCTTCTACATATAGTGTACACAGTGCAAATTGCGGGAGTTTTGAGAGCGTTGTGTTGTCTCAAACACGGCCGTTGTGCACCTACTGAAAATGTTCTTGTTGGTCTTTTCCTTCTTCTTCTCCTTGTTCTCCTCCTTCGCCGTCTCCTTTTCATTTCCCTTCTCGTTCTCTCCTTACTTCTCCTTTATTTCCTTCTTCCTTCCGTTTTCTTCTTCTTGGTGAATTGTTACCGGGCGGATCATTATCGCCATCGTTCCCTTCTGCTATGTAGCCAGGATGGCGACTGATGAGGGTGAAAAGTGTCCAGTGTTCCACTCTCCACCTTTTTTTACCGATAGGAGTTTGGAAAATAATTGTATTGTGATTTCTTTCTTCTTTTTTTTTTTTTTTTTTTACCAATATTGCGATTGCAATTTAATCACTGATTTATTTATTTATTTATTTTTTTAGGTTTTTATCTTTGGTATGCTTCAAAAAAGACGAGCAATAAATAATTGTATAGTATGACTAACACAATATTAGATTGATTAAACTGTTCTTGGCCAGAGGTTTGTTATAATTAAATTAGGTAGAAACATTTTGGTCAGTTGTCCTTGTTGGGAACAGCGATCGGACATAGCTTTATGTTTTGAGTTCTGATCCAGTTTAGTAGTTTTCCCCTGTGAGGTTGCAATAATAGCAAAACAGTACCTGACGCTGTGCAGCATCTTCTTCTTTAAAGCCAAAATAGCATCTCACAAATTAAAAGACATGATGTTCCTGTTTGACACGTGTCGAGGCCGTTGTACAACAAGGCGAGGTCCAGCGTAGCGTGCCAAGTGTCACGTGACCAGAGTGTAATCGTAGCCTTTGCGATTAGAAAATGTTGTTCTATCATTTTGTGATATTATCGCAAATTAGAAATGCACCGAATGTTTTGCCACAGAAATTAATCGACTGAAAATGGCTAAAAAAAAAAGCACTTTCGGTGTTAATACATCAAAAGACCGAACAATTTTGCTGACACGCTGTCAGAGCCGTTTGCAGACGCCGTTCTGCTGAACTGTCTCCCAGCACATCCACTCTATCTGCGGCTGACTTCTTAGAAAAGAACCGCTTTGAGTGTTTCTGTCACTCGTCTGTGAGAAGGAGGTTAAACTAGCCGCACCTAAATGTGGAGTGCGCACGTATTCCAGCCTTTACGGTAAGTGAAGCGGCCCAGAGCGAGCTGACAGGCAGGTTAGAGACTTTATCCTGTCAGTTTGTCTCTTTAGTGTGAAGAGAGGCTGTGAAGTCTTCGTGTTACGCCGGACGAGAACCACATACAACATTATTTATCAAAGGAGGAGGAAACACATGTGACAACGTCCGGTTTTCAAAATAAGGCGTCTGTACAGGACCCACCATAGTCTCTCCCCATCCTGTGGGAAACACTGAGGGAAAAGCTCATTTTGAATATTTTATGCAATGGTAAAAAAAATGGAAGAAAAAATGTGAAAAACCTTGTTTGGTATTCGGGAAAGTTTTTCATTATATTCGGTTTCAGCCAAGAATTTTCATTTTGGTGTGGCCCTATTCCAAATGCAGTTACTAGTTCAGCCATAGTTTTCATCATTAGGGTTCTCATTAGCGCTGCAGCTAATGATGATTTTAGTATTCGAAGCTTTGATAGATTATTTCAACGATTCATCGATGCGTCGTTTAAGAAGTACTTAAATGAAGTACGTGAAACAGCTGTTTGGTTTTATAAACCGCTGGCGGCTTTCTGATCAGAGTTGTTGTTTTCTTTAGCTTGAAATAATCCCAGACTTTGGACACTTTCTGTTTTGTCCCTCGCTGTTTTCTCTCTCTTCCTCCACTTTGCTAACAGCGCCATCATAATCACGTCGTGGTCACAGCGTAAGCGCGATGTGCGACACTAATAAATGTCTGTGCGAAACACTGTGCTGTATAGTTACATGGATTAAACGAAGCATTGATGCAAAGAATTTGTCGAATCATTTTATGAATCGATTTAATCGCTGAAACGTTTCAGCTCTAGTTCCCATAGTGCACTGCATTTTAGCGTACTTGTTTATTTTAAACACTCATAACGTAAAAAGTGTGAAAGGGTGCGAAATGAGACCGAGCTTAAGGTAGCAGTCGGGTGAAACCCTGGTAGTCTGAATGAAGCAACAGCTCTGTGGAATTAACCTAAGCTGATTTCTGCCTCCTGTGCCCCCGAGCTGCAGTCAGTGAACGGCCAAGCCACTTGGCTCCTTATCCTTTTAGTTGTTCGGGTAGGGAGCTGTGGATCAACAGATGGTGGACATCCTCTTCCTGTTCCACCTTTTCTCAACGCTGTCGTCCGTCTGCTTCAGAGCTGACATGTACTTCCTGTCAACGTCCTCCTCTGATCTGAACTGATGTCACTGATGTTGACCTTGGTTTTCCCTCGATGTCACGTGTTACGTCTTTTGCTGACTCTAAATGGAGCAAAACGACAGGAAAGTTGACTGAAGGTGGAGTTACTGTAACTCCTGTTCGAGTCTATGATTATTCTGTTTAGCCAACAGCTTTCATACAGGTCAGTGCAGTTTAAGGTGATTTACAGACGACTGGCAGGCTGAAAATAAGACTTGATGTATTTACTCTTTTTTTGTGTTTCAGAACCAGCTGCTGACTCGAGGGTTGTCTGAAGTCCTGGACCAGGTCCTTCTCCACTCTGGTGAGATGGGTTAGTACTCTCTGAGTATGAACTCAACTTAGGTATTGTTTCAATCTGATCGATTTTAATTCTACTTATCAAATCTGATTCTTATGGGACTCTGGGTTCTGATTCCTTCGCCACAAATCCACTTCCTCCTCGCTCCTCTTCCCCTTCACGGCTAAAGTGAAAGGAGTCTCTGTCCTAGAGCGGCGTCTCTGGGACTCGTCTCATCTGTAACCATCATCGGTTTCCCTTCAGTATAAAAGGTGAACCTCAGCTCACCTGTGTTTTGGACCTGACACGTTGCTACTGTTAGCGTTAGCTGGATCTGGGGTGTCGGTGTAGCTGGGAGAGCGCGACACGTTGAACACGGTGAAGCGTTCCTTCAGATTCACGCCGTGTTGAAGGAAACGCTGGAGCTGCTTCCTCCCTCGCACCAAACCTCCTTACTGCAGCTTTTTAATGAAGCTAAGCCAAACTTTGGAGCGTTTGCTGCGGTCCGCCACGGTCCAGGACCGGAACCAGAAGGACTCTCTTCTTCATGGTTTCTTGACGTAACACATGAGGTGACGTTAGGTCGGCGTAGCAGCTCCTGGCAGTTTAGAGACACTTTTATGGACTGTAAAACGCTCACTGCAGTTCAGTCAGGAGCTAAAAGATACAGAAAGTTAGGAACCGAGGAGCAGGATCCAAACGCACGGGTCTTAACAAGTCCACCGGTCTTGGAAATTTGTTCCGGTTCCACCCTGTCTCCTCTGAAAAACTGGAAGAGCACATGTGGTCTTGAAAGTTTAAAAGTTGCCCATTAAGTAAAACTTTAATGTCCCTGTGGGCAAATTAGTTTTTAGCATTTAGCAGCGCTTTATTTAGCATCTTGCTTCAGCTCGTTAATGTGACTGCAGTTGATTAAGGACACGTTTACGTTATGCGCACGAGTATCCTGGGTTTTTGGAGAATCACAATAATGTTTTGTGCATGTGAGCAGCAAACCCTGAGTTCAGAAAGCTGGATATGCTGCCTGGAGTACTCACGATAGAAACCAGGATAATGTGGCGTGTCAAGACCTGATCCAGGCGTCTCAACATATTTTGGTATGGAGCAGAACATTGTGAGGCTGAGATGGTGAGAAATCAAGATGATCAGAAACCTGGATACGGATCTCTGATAACGATCGCGTAAACACAGACATTAATAAACAGGATGCATGTGAACATTTTCAAGATGATACAAGACATAAAAACCAGGATACTAGTTTGCATGGAAACGTTTCTTTCCCTGTAGAAATTAGGGCTGCACGATTAATCTAATTGCGAAAGCGATGTGGCGACGTCGCTCTGTGGCTGTGAGACAGACTGTTGAACAGTATGATTATTGACAAGCTTAGAGACCGATGCATGAAACAGCTGTAACTGGATTTAATATTCAACTAGTGGTAAAAAGTATATTATTATATGAAATTATAATGAAAGTAGTATTTAATATATTATTGTTATTCTAATAGTAAAACTAACTAAACATTATACTCTTTATTTATTACACTGGTGTACAGTTCCTCCTCCAGGTTGTGGATAGAGACTCTGCTTTAGACAGATGTACGCTGAGCCGGTGTGCCGATATTTGCTGCTTCTAGCCGCCTCCTCTGTAGAGCAACACACTCCCTTTGTTCTCTTTTACATCTCTTTTACTTGTTATTGTTATAAATATTGTTTCACTTTGTTCAAGTTGAGAAATGCACATTTTAAAATGTCAGTATTTTGTGCATTTTCTTTGATAATTAAGCAAGTAGACTCATTTGTTCTATTATAATCGGATCGCAAATCGCAAAGTGTCTTTTTGTCCAAATCGCACAGCCCTAGTAGAAATGTAACCACTGCAGACACGTCCCCATCACTTTTTAAAAATGTTCTGGAAATGCTCTGAGGAGGGTTTATTTGCAAAATGAGAAAACATGCAATGAAATTAAAATATAGAGGAAACAAATGTGCATTGTCCAAAAAAATGTAACAAAAACGAGCTACTGATTTAAAAAAATGACCCCAAACGTGCACCGATCAGTAACTTTAACAACCTCTTGGCACAGTTTGTTTCTCTCCCTGTGAACAAAAGAGGAGGGAAGACTAAAATCATGGCTGCATGTGTGCTGACTCAGCAGGGATGATATTAAATAAGAAAAGTTGATCTACAGGAGAAACATCTGAAAGTATCCAGGAAATCTCCCCCTGAATGCTGCAGCTAAATGAGGTCTTCTTGTTTTCTCGAGCCTTTTTGCTTACTAGTAACTTTGTTATTGTTGGTTTTTGTTTGTTTTTTGTTGGTCTGTATTGTTTATAGGACTCTTTCTTTCATTTACACAGACAATAATTATATTGTACCTTGTTTTTTCTTCCCCTACGAGAGTCTCTTGTCAATAAAAAATGACTCAGCAGGGATGATATTAAATGAAAACGTTGATCTACAGGAGAAATATATGAGACCCTGACTGCATTATATTACACTATATTCCGAGTCTGCTGCCTGAATTTTACGTTGCCCTCTACTGCAGGGGTCCAGTTAGAGAAAATTGACTGTCAAATCAAATAATATTTCACATCAGACTGGAGGGATAATGAATACTAACTATTCTATTAATAAATTCCAAAGTTAAGTAAACTAAAGGCTGCATTTTAAAAAATATCTACAATACATTTTTTAAATGTGCATCTTAAAATAATGTGCTTAATCCCAGAAGAAATCTAATAAAGCTTGAAGTGCAGTCTCAACCAATTTTATAATAAACACTCAATAACAATTGAACAGCTGTAGCGCCTCCTCTTCTCTTTCATTCTCTCTTATGAAGCTACCTCTTCCCTACTCTCTCTTGTTCAGTGAGAAACATGAGCTGTGGTTCGTCCTGCCGGCTGGGATTGTATTTTCTGTTCCCTCAGTTCGGGTACGTTTGCTCAAAAGATTTGTGCTTCGTCTCGTAGCCGTACTTTACTTTGCTGCTTTAATAATCGTGACAGATTCTGGGTTTGAACTTCCTGTGGGAAGAATGTTCAGGTAAGAATCTGCACATTCTTGATTAAAAGCCATGTGAAGTCTCTTTTCTGTCGTCTCCTCTCTTCCTCTGGTGTTTCTCAATCGCAGACTCGACTCGCAATGCATCTCGGAATGCACAGATTTGATTGGCTGAGCATGAGACGATTGGAACAAGTGCCATTGGTCTGTGAGTTTCCCGGGCCAATAAACCACTACAGTAAACGCAAGAGAAGCTGCGCAGGTTAAAATAGAAACGCTCCGTCACGAGGTAATAATTCTCAATAATAGGTCGTCTGTAGGTCGGGGGTCCGGAGAGGACGGCAGCTGGGTCCAGATCCGGATCGCGGTCCGCCAATTAGTGACCTCTGCTCTACATAAATCAAAACATTTCCACCATAAAATGCAGAAATTGATGCAGAATTTCACCAGAATGCAGGAAATTAAGTGGAAAGGAAGACATTTTTCCACACTGAAGATTCTTTCAAACGAGTGTCTTGTTCTCGTGAACCCAATATCGTGTTTCCTCACGTCTCGTGAGCCAAGTGTACCGTCACACCCCTAATCCTGAGCCCCTCTGTCTCCACCACTGTTTTGCAGCATAAGACACATTCAGGTAGATTAATTTAAAGCGACTAAACCTTTCATTAATTTAATAATTAATAATGCTTTTTTTAAATCTGTTTCCCTGAACGTCTCTTTGTAAAGATTTGGAATGTAAATTGCACCACAGGGCTGGTGAGGTGTGGAGTATTTATTGATTAATATTGGTGGAGTTGAAAAGGAAGGATACTAAATTATCTCACATTATATCATAGGGTTTTTTAATATGCTTTTGTTTACTTCAGGCTCTATCATTAGCACACGCCATGAATTTATGTTGACTCTGTCGTTGGTCAGCTCGTGTCCTTTTAAATAATGATGTAATCACAGCACGTATTACCCGTGTTTGTGTGTTGTTGTTGTTGTTTATGTTTAAAGCCTAGGATTCGCCAACACAGCGTCACATCATGTCTGTTTCTCTTTACCGACAGCAGAACAACAAAAACATTAAGTTGACGCTTAACACATTAATTGTCTTCCCGCGGTGCGTCCGGGAAATGGGGCACGTTGTTGTTGCTGTTGCTGCTGCTGTTGCTGCAGTGTTTCCATGGTAACGGTCTGTGCGTGTCTCTCGTAGGCGATGACCAGCTCGTCGCCCTCGCCGATATGTGGAGCAGATTCTTCACAGAGATCCTCCCCACCCTGCAGGCCATCTTCTACCCCGTCCAGGTACGCAAACACACACACACACACACACACACACACACACACACACACACACACACACACACACACACACACACACACACCACCACCTGGTTTTGACTGCAGTTTAGGGTTCAGTCGCATTTAATAGCGTTAAATTGTTTTTCCTCATCCTTTGTTCTCATTTCAGTTATAAACTTAATCGTCAGTGTGTCTGAACACAGGAACTCAAGTCTCCCCTGGATGATGTAACCATCACACATGTTTATGTTCTGACCACCAGTTTGAATCATTTACACTTTGTTTCTGAAAAATCAGACCCACAGCAAAACTGACCTCAAGTTCTCCAAATCAAGTCATTTTCTGTCTCCCTTTTTCTAGTCTTTATGCTAAGCTAAGCTAGCACACCGGCTAAGATAGACTAGCTGTTTCCCCAGGTTTTTAGTCTTTATGCTAAGCTAAGATAGCTGTTTTCCCCTGTATCTAGTTTTTATGCTAAGCTAAGCTAGCTGTTTCCCCTTGTTGTTAAGTTGTTATGCTAAGCTAGACTAGCTTTTCCCCTGTTTCTAGTCTTTATGCTAAGATAAGCTAGCGGTTTCCCCTGTTTCTAGTCTTTTTACTAAGCTAAGCTAGTTGTTTCCCCTTGTTTCTAGTTTTTATGCTAAGCTAAGCTATCTGTTCCCCCCGTTTCTAGTCTTTTTATTAAACTAAGCTAGCTGTTTCCGCTTGTTTCTATTTTTTTTTGCTAAGCTAGCTGTTTTCCCTTGTTTCTAGTTTTTGTGCTAAGCTAGACTAGCTCCTCCCCCTGTTTCTAGTCTTTATACTAAGCTAAGCTAGCTGTTTCCACTGTTCCTAGTTTTTATGCTAAGCTAATATAGCTGTTTACCCTGTGTCTAGTTTTTATGCTAAGCTACACTAGCTGTTTCCCCCTGTTAATAGTCTTTAGGCTAAGCTAAGCTAGCTGTTTTCCCCCTGTTTTTAGTCTTTAGGCTAAGCTAGCTAGCTGTTTCCCCCTGTTTCTAGTTTTTATGCTAAGCTAAACTAACTGTTTCCCCTGCTTCTAGTTTTTATGCTAAGCTAGACTAGCTGTTTTCCCATGTTTTTAGTCTTTAGACTAAGCTAGCTAGCGGTTTCCCCCTGTTTCTAGTTTGTATGCTAAGCTAGACTAGCTGTTTCCCCATGTTTTTAGTCTATAGGCTAAGCTAGCTAGCTGTTTCCCCCTGTTTCTAGTTTTTATGCTAAGCTAAACTGTTTCCCCTGTTTCTAGTTTTTATGCTAAGCTAAACTAACTGTTTCCCCTGTTTCTAGTTTTTATGCTAAGCTAAGGTAGCTGTTTATCCCTGTATCTAGTTGTTATACTAAGCTAACTGATTCAACCTGTTTCTAGTTTTTATGCTAAGCTAGACTAGCTGTTTTCCCCTGTTTCTAGTTTTTATGCTAAGCTAGACTAGCTGTTTCCCCCTGTTTCTAGTTTTTATGCTGAAAGACAAACAGCTACTCAGTGCTGTACGAGTCCTGTACTTCTGGAACACCATCAGGCCTGTGGTTGCCGGGCCCCCGCTGCGGCAGGCGTCCCTTATTTTTCTGTATTGAAGGTGGCAACCTCATGCGCATTGATAGCCCATTATTTAATCATTTTGAAGTGCTCTGAACGCTAATTGTAAACAACCTCTTGAGGGCTTCAGGCCAGAAACACTGATAATGAACGATAAGTCCAAATACTCTCAGCCTGCATTAATCAAGGCCACTTCACATAATTTAGATAATCTTGAGAGTTTTGTTTCCATAGCAATGTGAATTAATGTGACTGATTAATCTTTTCCTGTAGGTTTGAATCGGACTCTGTTGCTTTTAGAAGAAAAAGCTTTTTTTTAAAAGTCTGTTCCTAAAAATTGCATTTTTGTTTGATTTTGAGATGGATTTATTTAAAGCAGTTCATTTATACATTTCATTAAATTTATTTGTAGGGTGAAGTGACATTAAACAACAGCATGTTAGCGTTGTAAAACACAGCCTCAGAGCTTCTAGCATGGCTGCTATTTTTGCAGCAACAACATCACGAACCTCAAGATAAAACAACAGTGTAACAGTAGATCAGTCTGTGGTTGTTTCCTAGAAGAACCGATTCACTGATCCAAATCCTTAAATCATCAGAGGTCAGTGGATTAACTTGCTGAGCTTTGGACTGAAGGAAACTGCTGCTGAGGTGCATCTTACACTGTGTGTGTGTGTGTGTGTGTTTGGGGGAATATTACCACAGTCATGCCACTCGGCAGCCATCTTGGCCTCCGGGCAGCTATTTTGGACTAACTAGACCGGGATCCTGTCTGACTGAATGGGCAGAGAACCAGAACTGCACTTTCACCGGGACACAAAACCTACATGAAAAGAATCTGCAGGAAAATCTGATAAAAATCGCTGAAAAGGTTTGACGACTTTTCCCCAAAATAAGGTTTAAAAAAGCGTTTTTCCCGACCGGTTTTACTTCTACCACGCAGTCGAAGGAAAACAAACCCTTACATCAGTGAAACCACACGATTGGCTGAAATGTTTCCTGCTTTCCTGCTAAAAGCAGATTGGCTTCCTAGCAGCAGGGGCGGGACAACTGCCATCTTTGGCGTTGCAGGCGTTCCCCATAGAGCTGTATTGAGAATTCTTAAAGAGGCTGCGATGAAACGCCCCAAACCCCCCACCATTAAATTTGAATATGGGTAGCCAGTTGGTTTGAGCTGCGGCGGTTGAGGTCATAGGAACGACTGTCACGCTCCAAAGTCAGCCTGAAATTTCACTGTCCAGGCGGCGCTCATGGACCAAACTGAAGCTCTGTTTACGCTGCAGGCTTGTTATGCTTTCCGTATGTTCATGTTAAACATGGCCAACGTTTCAAATAACGAGATAAAAGTATTTAAAAGAAATCCCTGTGAGCAAAGAACCTCAGATTTCCCCCTGTTCTGAACGCTCTGGTTTAAACAGGCTCAGTATGACGTCGTACGGAGCAGGTTTTCCATATAAGGTCATTTACTCCACACACAGAATGCTGGCCACGCCCACAAAAGGAGCGTGCAGCCAGTGGGCTTTTGAGAGGAGGGCCTTAAAGAGACTACTGCTTGCATCAGACAAAGGCTGAAATGAAGGCCTTTATGAGACTTTGATCATCCAGAGCTGCCATAGAGGAGTCACAGAACTAAAATACAGAGCAGGAAATGAAATGTGATAGGTCTCCTTTAATGCTCAATTTGGATGTATTGCCCAGATCAGATTTTTTTAAATGTTTTTATTATTTTTTACATGGCCCATATCAGACTGAAGTGTGAAGTGTCCCGGTTTCCTCCTGTGGTCACAATTCTCCCAATTTATGACAAATGTTTACATATCTGTGTCCTTTCCATCGCCTTCATTACAGTTCCCGGCGCTGTTCAGGGCGTAGAAGCCCCCCACTCTGTTTACTGTGTTTTCGTCCGGGCACGTGACGCAGAATTGCGACAGAGTTGTCAGAGTTGCGTGAACTCGACGATCTGACAGACCGGATTGTGGAAGCAGTTCAGAAAACCAGACCTGGAGTCCATGTGACCTGTTCACACGGTTATAAACAAATCAGATCTGAGTCACGTGTGAGCAGAGAAATCAGACTCGGGTCACTTTGACCTGCAGTCTGAACGCAGCGAGAGAGAGAGAGCAGCGATGGTCGAGCCACCTAGAGAGTGAAAGAGCGAGAAAGCCGGTGAGAAATAAAACTTTATTTTCTGAGTGTTTCACAGCGGTTAAGGTCTTAAACACGCCCCCCAACACCGCCGCACAACCACCGTCATGGGGCCAAAATGCAAACATAAAATAGAAAACATTACATTTCAGAGTGAAGACTTGGGTCAGGCGTAGGTTTAGGTATCCAGGAAATGAATGCGTGTCAGTGTAATGTCCCCAGAAGTGATGTAAATGCACCTGTGTGTTCAGGGTCAGGAGCTGACGGTGAGGCAGATGGCTCTGGTGGCCTTCAGAGACCTGGTGCTGCTGAAGCTCCACCTGGAGGAAACTCTGGGAACTGCAGCGTCCGTCCCTCCACCTGTCACACAGATGCTGCTGGTGCTGCAGGTAAACACACAAACACAAGCATCATTTATTACAGCTTACTTCTGTAGTTTCGACCATCGTTTGTCCATTTATATACTTATCAAGTTAATTAATGTGATGTGGGAGCAAACGGTCAACAAACGGAAGCGATCAGACGATTGGACACGTCCAGTGTATCCAGATGATAAAACCATTTTGTTTGGAGTTAAACTGAAAGAGGGTGCAGCTGAAATGTTGTCAATAATCCCTCATTACACAGGAAAAAAAAGGTGTGCACGCAATAAAGTGAGTGCAGTCGGTCAAAGCAGGAAGTGAGTCTGTAAACTGTGATGGATGTTTGAAACTGACGGGTTTGGTGTTCATTTTACCACCTCACCTTTATTTTTCTTCCAAATACGTTTGTGTAACCTGCGGGTTTGTTTCCGACCTGTCTGACGGTCGTACTGCTCGTGTCTTTCTGACTATTACTGAATTATGAACAAAAATATGAGAAAAAACCCAGACACAGGATTTTTAATAAGATAATATACATTAAATAAGATATAATTTTATTATTTATTTGCAACCTGTCCGTTCTGCAGCTTAAACACAAAATAACAATAAAATCTCTTAACACATACTCTCATGCCACACAACACATATTCATACATTTTAATCTACAGTCCTGACTCTAACCGTACAATCCAAGTCTAGCTTTAACCCTGGACCCAAGTTTTGACCCTAAAGAATCCCATTGAAGAAGCGAAGACAAAGCGACACAAGGTGTCTTCACTAATAAAGGACCAAAAATATGTTGTACTCTGTGTACATGTACTCTCTCTGTCTCTCCCTCAGGGCATCCATGAGCCCGGCGGTCCCAGTTTGGAGTATTACCAGTTGGAGCGTCTGGTGGAGATCGTCGTGTCTCCGTACCTCAGCAACGTTCTGGAAAACAGAAACCAGCCAAGGTTTGGTCAGTACTACTCACGAGCAAGGGCGTCACTTTGTGTGGAAAGGTGTTGGGGACATTTAAGGGCTCATATGAGGGGTGTGATTAAACACAAACGTAAGAAAGCACAATATTGAGGTAGATACTCCCAAGATTGTGAGCATTAAACTCTCGATTTCCTGCGTTCTAGAGACATTTTCTGCACCAATTTATGGGATGTTTTCCTATTGTGCAAGTAAACCTTTCTCATAGAATTTGTATTTGCTATTTAACATTTTGTGTTGCAAGCTAATTTTCAGAAAACCTTTTAGCAAAAGCTTTCAAAAAGTGGTGGGGACATGTCCCCAGCGTCCCCAGCGTAAATGACACCTATGTTCACCAGTGCTGGAGAGAGTAAAAGTATTTAAGTATGATCAGGAAAATGTACTTGAAAGTATTAAAAGTAAAAATAGTCGATGCCCTTTTAGCATTTCATTATTATGTTAAAGCAGCAGCAGGGAATTCTTTTACAAAAATAACATATTTGCTGAAACTGTCACTGTATCCTGACGGTAGAACATGAGACAGATAAACCGGTTCCTCTGGCTCCTCCTCCTACTGCTCCTGAAACCATCTGCAAGAATCAAAACAATCAATCACAGCCAGGAGCAGTCTCTTAACGCAGCGCCAATCACTGCTCGTGCACACGCTGCCCAGTGTACCTGCCTCTCATCCCGCTGTCAGATGCTGTCACAGCCGCCTCTGGAGCCTGGGGCGCGATGCGTCAGTCGAAGTCGAAGCGGCTTTAATGGATAACTACTATAATATAAATAATAAATAATATTCTTTCACGTTGCATATACATACATAAATTTGAGTTTAGTAATAAAAAAATTAAATATAATAAATAAATGATAGAACACACAAATGGTTCAAGAACAATTGAAGGGCAACAACAGAAAATAGTAAGTCAGACATAACTAAGGTCATGTAGAGCACTTTGTAACTTTGTTTTGGAAAGAGTCAAGTCAGTTTTATTTATCTAGCACATTTCATAAAGCAAGTGTGAACTCAGACGCACGACTAATCCTTCCACTGCTGCAGAATAACCGAAGAAGGTGAAGACAAAGTTCAGGTCAGCAAAACTGAGAAATAATGTAAATGTCAGAATCAATAATAAGTTGACAACTTCAAGTTAAGCAGAGGCAGGAAATGAAACACATTTCTGCAGTAAACACCTTAGAACAGCCTGTTAATTCATCCTCTGAAGCTTTATTTGGACATTATTATATCTTTATCAATTAATCATTTAGATTTTTAAATAAAGTACTTGTATTCTCCGAAACCCCCCAAAATATTCAGACTACTGTCATATTAGATGAAGTTAAAGCAGGAAATGCTCGTGATTGAGAAGCTGGAACTTTTGTTGTTTGTAAATTTACTGTCAAAGATTTAATTGATTAATTAATTAGCTGCTGATTTATTTTACAGACTATTAAAGTCCAGCTGTGAGGAGTTTACAGAATTTTGTCTGAGCCTGTCGTGTTTTTAGTTTTGAAAATGCAGTAACTTTAACATTTGAACACTATAATAATGTTATAATATATTTATAAAAAAGTAAAATGAATAAATTCTTTATAATAGATCTGTTTTACTGGCTTTAGTCTTTTGAAAGGTAGTAATTTGAGTGTAATTTAGGGAATAAAGTATGTATTGTGTAAGAAATTGTTCAAATAAAAGCTAAACATAAAGCTAAAGAATTAAATTAAATTGACTAAAAGCTCCAGTATTGTTGCCTTTTAGCAGCTCAGCTAGCAGAAACCTGCTGCTGCTGTTTTACAAACTAAAACCTTTGTGTGTCTGTGCTCAGTCAGTGAACCGCAGCAGCTTTCCTTCCAGCAGGGAACGTGCAACTCCACGAAGCTTTCGTCACCACGTCTGGCAGAACCCTGATTAGATTATAGTCCTAATCCCTGCCGTGACTTGAAACTGTCCAGCCGTGAGCCTGCAGGAGGTCACGTCAGGAACCCAACAATACCGTTTTGTTATGTAATACTGATATATGAAAATGTCACACTGAGCTAATCCTGTGTGCCCGAGACAAACCAGCAGGAACACAAGCACATTTTAATACCTTAATTAGAAGATTTAGAAAATGAAAGAATCAGAGGTAAAGGTGAAAGCTTGAAAGTGTGTTGGTTTGAAACATTAATTAAAACATGATCTACAGAAGTTGAAGAATAACAGTTCTGACCTCGTGTCAAAGACGTCTGTGTATTGTGTTGCTAACCAGCTAGCCCCCGACACGTCCTGTGGTGTAAAACAAAGAAATGTACATTTGTAAAGTTATTATTTGTCAATATAAACACTAGAAATCGTCAGGATGTTCATCAGGATGCTGGGAGGAGGATTCTGTTCCCCTTGGACGGAGCCAGGCTAGCCGTTTCCCTCTGTTTCCAGTCTTTATGCTAAGCTAAGCTAACCAGCTGTTGGCTGTAGCTTCATATTTACAGAGTGGTGTCAATCTGATCACATGACTCTCACTTACCATCCACACTACGATCTCCGTCCACGCCAGCGCTTTAGCTGCGTATCAGAATCAATTTCCGTCTGTTAAAATCACCGAAAACATGACCGTCACATACAACAGCTGGAAGTAACGCGTCACAAAAGTAACGCAGTTACAGTAATGTGTTGCTTTTTGCTGTAACGTAGTAATAAAACGCCTTACTAAAAAAAAAAAAAATCTGTAATATTACACCTGTTACAATCTCAGTAGTTCCCCTGATGGATGATGGTAAATAGATTTCTATAGGCTGTGTGTTTGTGCTTAAAGGAGTTACTTTCCTGATCAGAGAGGCTGCTGTCAGGTCATCCTGACGGAGTCTCGGGAGGTTCAAATAATCAGTGACGTAATGCTGCTGGACCTCATGCGTAAATGCGCACACGTCTTTCTTAATGGGGAGACGATTCATCCGATTCCTATACAGATTTCCAGGTGCAGAAGGTTCGGCTAAAGAATAAAGTAGAGACGAACGAAGAACAGCGACCCCAAAACGGGGTCAAGTACTCTGTTTTGGGTGTTCAGGTTCACCGCTGTAGTCTGGACGGGCAGACCGTCTGACTTTTAAAACGAAGGCGGAGGAGTGAGGATGGAGCCTCAGAGGAAGAGAAGGAGAGGAAAAACTTTCCCTCTTAAAGGGAAACTATGCGATTCTGCAGAGAGTTTGTTGATCAACAGACTCATGAAGGCGCATTGCCATGGTAACCAGTCGTCTGTTTTAGCAGCACTGTAGAAGGTGTGACAACAAGCCTGACAATATTTAAATATGTACTGAAGCAAAATACTTTTCTCAATCTAAGGCGCGGAGTCTAGTTTATTTATCGAGAGGAACTTCAATAGTTACAATTAGTGAACAAACGTCAACGAACAACATGTGTAAGCTCACAAACGCAGCATCAAAACACAACGGAGGAAAAAACTAGAGTTATTTGAAATAGTTTGTACAAAAACACAGAGACTGTTTATCTGCAGGGCCGAAGTCAGTGCTAACTTTGGGGCCAAACTCCTTCACTCTTTATTCAACAGCTGGCAGCAGCACACAGGAGCTCCTCTTTAGTCCGGAGGAGCTGCAGTCTTTCTTCACCGGCCTCTGGAGCTTCTACTGTACATTTACTGCTGAACGTGGAGCTGACCCGTTTCTCTCTGTTCACCGGGGCTAAGCTAACACCGCCACCTGCTGCTCGCTCCAGCAGCTTTGTTTGGGCTCAGTTTACAGACCCAGAGCTACCGAGCCATGAGGAAATATTGGCCGAATTTAACGAAGTGGTTTGGATAAGAATCGTGAAGTGCCCCTTTAAAGCCCCTCCCCGTGTGATCATTTCACTCTTTGTTCTGTATTTATTGTTCTTGACATATTTGGTATCTGTGGAAATGTTCAGATTTCCACTAGAATTCCACTCACAACAGCTTCCTGTCTCCTCATCCAGAGTCCCGCCACCTGCGGCCGTCGGGGTCGTTCCACGGCGACAGGCCCCAGCCAGAGATCACCGTCACTCAGCATCACAACTCCTCCGACTCCTCGTCGCTGGCTCCGCTGGTGGAGCAGGAGGGCGAGGCCTACCTGGAGAAGTCGGGCGGCGTGCGGCGCCACACGGTGGCCAACGCGCACTCTGACGTCCGGTTGTTGTCGGCGTCGGGCAGGATGCATGCCGGGACAAAGAAGGACAACGGGGTGGGGGTGGGAGAGGGCGAGGAGGACGTGGGGTTTTTGGTGGGGGGCGAGCGCATGAGTCCCAGGCCGTTCTCCAGCCAACCGGACATGGTGGAGTCTCCGAGGAGCGGCGTTATCCGCTAGCCGGGAGCGGCTAATGAGACGGTACAGGACGAGGTGTGGACGCGGTCTAACGGGAGAATTAAAAACAAGACGAGGAAACATTACAGCAACAGGCTCAGCCAGAACCTGACAGGAAATAAAAAAACAAGCAGCGGAGAGAGAACAGAACCGGACAAAAACCAGCCAGATAGGACACGAGAGACCCAAAGAAAACAGGACGAGACACCAGAAGTAAAATCACAGAAGAAGACAGGAAACACAATAAACCAACAATAAATGAAAGGATGGGAAACAGGAAGTGTTCCCACAGAGCTCCCAGCAGCAGGAGGAGGAGCTCCGGCTCCGAACTGGGAAGACTGATCTGAACCAGCAGAGACTCTGGTGCTTACTGAAGTGCAGCAGTGCTGATCCAGGATCAGACTCTGCGTCTTCACGTTTGCTCTAATCCTGTGGACAGAACCGGACTACGGGTCCTGGTTCTGCCTCAGACCTCTCTTCAGGTCATGTAAATATGTTCTGTTTTTAGGATTGTTAATGAATAATAAAAATGGTTGAAACTAATTCAGACACAACCTTTAAGCTGTGTTTTCTTCAGTCGCTTGACAGCAGTTCAGTTCATGTGCCCGTTTAGTCGGTACTGTGCGGGACTCCCGTTAGTAACGTTGTATGATTCACATTCTGCGGATTTTTTTTCTCCCTCGTTAAACAAATTGACTTTAAGGAAACCTTTTGCACATGTTCATATATAAAGCATGAGCCGCAGTGTGCGTTTGATCCGCATTCATAAACCTACGGACGCTTATTTTCATTTCCCTGAGTAAAAACCATCAGAACTTTTCAAAGTAAAAGCTCTCAATAAACTCAACATAAAGAATTGCTGCAAAAAATGTTCTCGCTCTTTCATTTTGGAGGCGCAATCACTTCAGAGTAAGTGATTATGTCAGCAACTGTCACGACAGATCTATTTCAGCACCAGCCGCTATCAGTTTATTTATTATTTATTTTTGTACTATCAAAGCAGTCTTATTACTGGCGGGCCGTTTTTTGCTGCCCACTGCTCCATAATAATAGTACTAAAAAGATGGATAAAAATAAAGAGTTAACTATCACAAACATTTCAAAAATATCTAAGAATACAACAATAAAATACCCTGACAGTTATTTTATGTTGTGACTGAACGTGTGAACCTGTAATACTCACATGTAGTAACACCTGTAAGCAACATGAATTTATTTTTACATATACCAACAGGAGGTTTGATCAACCAATGAATCCGTTTTGTATAACTAAATAAATGTAGAAATGCATAAATAAATGGTTTTGCAGCAGAAAGGTTCAGTTGTCTGACAACATTATGGAAAGTCTCCCTACATAGAGCCCTTTTTTGTTTAGAAGAGTAAGATCCTTTTTGTTTAACCAGAAACCGTCACTATATTGCTGTCAAAGCAACCAGACTCCATTGACACTCCATCTCTTCTCTCTCGTCTCCTTTCTTCCCTTCCTGTCTCCTTTCTTCCCTTCCCCTTCTTTTCCTTCTCGTCTCCTTTCTTTCCTTCTCTTCTCTCTCTCGTCTCCTTCCTCCCCTTCTTGTCTCCTTTCTTCCCTTCCCCTTCTTTTCCTTCTCGTCTCCTTTCTTTCCTTCTCTTCTCTCTCTCGTCTCCTTCCTCCCCTTCTTGTCTCCTTTCTTCCCTTCCCCTTCTTTTCCTTCTCGTCTCCTTTCTTTCCTTCTCTTCTCTCTCTCGTCTCCTTCCTCCCCTTCTTGTCTCCTTTCTTCCCTTCCCCTTCTTTTCCTTCTCGTCTCCTTTCTTTCCTTCTCTTCTCTCTCTCGTCTCCTTCCTCCCCTTCTCGTCTCCTTTCTTCCCTTCCTGTCTCCTTTCTTCCCTTCCCCTTCTTTTCCTTCTTGTCTCCTTCCTTCCCTTCCCCTTCTTTTCCTTCTCGTCTCCTTTCTTTCCTTCTCTTCTCTCTCTCGTCTCCTTCCTCCCCTTCTCGTCTCCTTTCTTCCCTTCCTGTCTCCTTTCTTCCCTTCCCCTTCTTTTCCTTCTTGTCTCCTTCCTTCCCTTCCCCTTCTTTTCCTTCTCGTCTCCTTTCTTTCCTTCTCTTCTCTCTCTCGTCTCCTTCCTCCCCTTCTCGTCTCCTTTCTTCCCTTCCTTTCTCCTTTCTTCCCTTCCCCTTCTTTTCCTTCTTGTCTCCTTTCTTCCCTTCCCCTTCTTTTCCTTCTTGTCTCCTTCCTTCCCTTCCCCTTCTTTTCCTTCTCGTCTCCTTTCTTTCCTTCTCTTCTCTCTCTCGTCTCCTTCCTCCCCTTCTCGTCTCCTTTCTTCCCTTCCTGTCTCCTTTCTTCCCTTCCCCTTCTTTTCCTTCTTGTCTCCTTTCTTCCCTTCTCTTCTCTCTCTCGTCTCCTTCCTCCCCTTCTCGTCTCCTTTCTTCCCTTCCTGTCTCCTTTCTTCCCTTCCCCTTCTTTTCCTTCTTGTCTCCTTTCTTCCCTTCACCTTCTTTTCCTTCTTGTCTCCTTTCTTCCCTTCACCTTCTTTTCCTTCTTGTCTCCTTTCTTCCCTTCTCCTTCTTTTCCTTCTTGTCTCCTTTCTTCCCTTCCCCTTCTTTTCCTTCTTGTCTCCTTTCTTCCCTTCTCCTTCTTTTCCTTCTTGTCTCCTTTCTTCCCTTCACCTTCTTTTCCTTCTTGTCTCCTTTCTTCCCTTCACCTTCTTTTCCTTCTTGTCTCCTTTCTTCCCTTCTCCTTCTTTTCCTTCTTGTCTCCTTTCTTCCCTTCTCCTTCTTTTCCTTCTTGTCTCCTTTCTTCCCTTCCCCTTCTTTTCCTTCTTGTCTCCTTTCTTCCCTTCCCCTTCTTTTCCTTCTTGTCTCCTTTCTTCCCTTCCCCTTCTTTTCCTTCTTGTCTCCTTTCTTCCCTTCTCCTTCTTTTCCTTCTTGTCTCCTTTCTTCCCTTCACCTTCTTTTCCTTCTTGTCTCCTTTCTTCCCTTCTCCTTCTTTTCCTTCTTGTCTCCTTTCTTCCCTTCCCCTTCTTTTCCTTCTTGTCTCCTTTCTTCCCTTCCCGTTCTTTTCCTTCTCGTCTCCTTTCTTCCCTTCCTGTCTCCTTTCTTCCCTTCTCCTTCTTTTCCTTCTTGTCTCCTTTCTTCCCTTCTCCTTCTTTTCCTTCTTGTCTCCTTTCTTCCCTTCACCTTCTTTTCCTTCTTGTCTCCTTTCTTCCCTTCTCCTTCTTTTCCTTCTTGTCTCCTTTCTTCCCTTCTCCTTCTTTTCCTTCTTGTCTCCTTTCTTCCCTTCTCCTTCTTTTCCTTCTTGTCTCCTTTCTTCCCTTCACCTTCTTTTCCTTCTTGTCTCCTTTCTTCCCTTCTCCTTCTTTTCCTTCTTGTCTCCTTTCTTCCCTTCACCTTCTTTTCCTTCTTGTCTCCTTTCTTCCCTTCTCCTTCTTTTCCTTCTTGTCTCCTTTCTTCCCTTCCCCTTCTTTTCCTTCTTGTCTCCTTTCTTCCCTTCCCCTTCTTTTCCTTCTCGTCTCCTTTCTTTCCTTCTCTTCTCTCTCTCGTCTCCTTCCTCCCCTTCTCGTCTCCTTTCTTCCCTTCCTGTCTCCTTTCTTCCCTTCCCCTTCTTTTCCTTCTTGTCTCCTTTCTTCCCTTCCCCTTCTTTTCCTTCTCGTCTCCTTTCTTCCCTTCTCGTCTCCTTTCTTCCCTTCCTGTCTCCTTTCTTCCCTTCCCCTTCTTTTCCTTCTTGTCTCCTTTCTTCCCTTCACCTTCTTTTCCTTCTCGTCTCCTTCCTTTCCTTCTCTCTATCATCTCCTTCCTCCCCTTCTCATCTCCTTTCTTTCCTTCTCTCTCGTCTCCTTCCTCCCCTTTTTGTCTCCTTTCTTCCCTTCTCCTTCCTCCCCTTCTTGTCTCCTTTCTTTCCTTCTCTCTCGTCTCCTTTCTTCCCTTCTCCTTCTTTTCCTTCTCGTCTCCTTCCTCCCCTTCTTGACTCCTTTCTTTCCTTCTCTCTCGTCTCCTTCCTTATACCCTTTCTTATAAAAAGGAAAACACGGAATTCAGGTGACAATTCAAAATATAGAAATATAATTGAATATAATGAGCAGCTTAAGTTACAATGCACATTTGTTTCTTCTATATTTTATTTGCATTGCATCTTTTCTTATTGTGCTAACAAACCTTTCCCAAAGCATTTTCATGTGTTAACATTTCTTGTTGCAAGCTGTTTTTCAGAACATTGTTTAACAAGGTAAGCTTTAGGAGGTAAATGCTAACATGTTCACTGAGTCTTTAACCTGCGCTGGTTTCCTGAATAAGAGGATTTAACAGCCTAACTGCTCTCTTTACAGCTCGACCTCTGACCCAGACTGTTCAGGAAGTAGTAATGAGGTCACTTAATCCTTAAATTACGTCAAATCCCTCTGCTTCCCTCCTCCTAGTAGATCCACTGAATCCTAAAGTCACTCTACGTTTTCCAAACTCACGAAGACGCAAACCAGATAAGAGAGACGTAACCATCTGTGTTAACGAGATCACAATCCCCTTTAATGACCAGGTATGTGAACACATACGAGGAATTTGAATCCGGTTTTACACTACTCTGTGTACATGCACAAAAAAGCCTAAACAAACAGGACGACAAGCTCAACAAAAATAGACGCAACCTACAGTGTACAAAAAAGTAAACGCAACTAAAGCTTTGCAAGACAGTGGTGTAGTGAAATAGCGCAAAGGATACTGCAATAAATAAATATTTCTGTTCAGTAATTATGCAGTATCATATGTATATTATGCAAAATTGTGTATAGATTACTCCAGAGTAGATCTCCGAAATGATGAGAAACAAATGATCTGTGGGGGAGTTGGATATCCATTAACCCGGCATTAGATTTATCTGGAGTATGGAAATATTTTAATATACTTTTGAGTTACATTACTGAAGGGAAAGTGAAATTTAAACTAGCTGCTGTAGAGCCCCAGTGTGGTGTTTCAGACAAGTGACCGGGCAACACGTCCTCACAAAGAAATTAAAGAATAGGTCAATAGTTGATGTCTCCAAAACGACATATATGAGCGTTTTTAATGACCAAATCAATATATATGGACATGAGCATTTTCTCAAAATGACATACATGAGTGTTTTCTCCAAAAGACATACATGAACGTGAGCGTTTTCAAGAACATTTGTAAGAATTTTCTCCAAAACGACATCTGAGCGTTTTCTCAGAACAAACGTGAGCATTTTCTCCAAATCAACATATGATTGTTTTCTCACATATGTGAGTGTTGTCTCAAAAAAACATATTTGAGGGTTTTCTCCAAAACAACATATGTGAGCGTTTTCTCCAAAACAACATATGTAAGCGTTTTCTCCAAAACATATGTGAGCGTTTTCTCCAAAACATCATATGTAAGCGTTTTCTCCAAAACATATGTGAGTGTTTTCTCCAAAACATATGTGAGTGTTTTCTCCAAAACATGTGAGCATTTTCTCCAAAACAACATATGTAAGCGTTTTCTCCAAAACATATGTGAGCGTTTTCTCCAAAACAACATATGTAAGCGTTTTCTCAAAAAAACATGTGAGCGTTTTCTCAAAACCCC